GGAAGATACGGATGTGAGCGGACGGTTGTCTAGAGACTGCACAAATAGACAAAACGTGGTTATGAGGACTTCCTTTTTGTGTAGTGGGAATTTCATAGAATACTCTTTGAAGCTCCAGAAGAGCCTTTTTAACGCACCTCCATGATGAGGAGCACTGGATGGATTGACTTTCCAGATTAGGCTTTTAAGAACGTGAAGACATGTATGGCGTTTCCTGTACTCAACGCATGTAATCAGCTTTGGCCGAGCCAAAAAAATTCGTACCATTGTCGGACTAGATGACGAAAAGCGTTCCTCGCCAAGCAATGAAGCGTTCTCTGCCCAGTACACAAGATTTTGTGTCCGTTGACGGAAAAACTTCGAGAAGAACGGCACGTTTTGTCATAAACGTAAATAAAAGGCCCCAACATTTCTCTGAGCTTCGTCAATACATTACGTGGAACGGCCAGATGTAGTATACTCCGCTGTTCGTGAATGGCGGTTGTCGGTAACCCAGTCACTCGAACGGAAGATCAGCCATCATAGGCGTAATCACACGTGCTTTTGTTTTCCTGCATAACACGCAAAGGTGTTCTTTGGTGTTCTAGGGAGGACAATACGGAGCCCCAACCCAACTTATTCTAATAGTACAACAGCTCGAAGATAATCAACACATTGTTGATGATTGCATTGGTGAAAAAACGTCGGTAGCATCATTATGAATAGATATTGCCTATCTCAAATGATGGGATAATTAACGTTAAAGTTTAGAGAGGCGAGACGGCAAACACGGCCAGTGGAACGAAATATAACACCGGGACCGGTAAATGGCGAAAAAGAATCTTTTCGGCTAAACAACTTAATGGAATGTTTATTGTGAAATGAATTGAATTCGAGGAGAATTACACTGATTGAGCCAGTATCAAAAATTTTTGCAAGGATTATTCTAAATTGGTCGGATCGATTATCGAACGAGAAAGGCAATTTTGACGGCGGTGATTTAATAACCTCAAAATCTATGCCGCAATTTTGGAAATTTCGAAAATGATTTGAAAATTTTCACGGCAAAAAGTATTTCGGTGGTTTTAGATGTGCCAGTCAAACTTTCATCTTGTTTAAAACCTTCATTCAAACCATATAAAGATGCTTCGAGGCGAATGCCGGTGAGATTTTCTTAGTCAGCTTTGAAGGGCCCATCCTTAATTATCAGAAAGAGGGAACCTTTCACCAAATCACTTGCTTTCAGTGCCTCAGCAGGTTTTCAGCGGTTGCCTCTATCAGCTTGATTGCCGTTACTGTACACCTGACACCACTCATCATTTGTGGTAAACTCGAGATTTTTGGAAACCCGACTAGCCGCAAAGACAGGCAATTTGCTGGTGGAGATCAACCATTGTAGCACAGTGGTGAAATCAGTCCACATGGAAAAATTTTCAACTTTCATTAAAAAATGTGTTTCAAGTTTAATTCTCAGAAGGCTCGCCAGTATTGCTGGTCGCAAAGCAAGCTTGAGAATTGAAAAAGTTTTCACCAGCGCTACTCTAGTTTTCAGTAACAAAAGCAATCTTGGCTTCATTTGTGACGACAGAGCGACTACTCAGGAAATCAACTGAACAAAGGACTGTCATCAAACTGTCATCAAATTAAAGGAAGCATTGTTAAATCGGAACCCAACTCTAGGAGAATTACAAGACTGCATTCTGGCCGAGGATGAGGAAAAAGGTGCAAAAAGATGGGAAAGAACTGCGACCAACACTGGTGGGAGTATCCGGTGAAGAGAGGCATAGTGTTATGCCTCCGTTCTATAGAACACCATTGCGTGTTATGTCGAAAAATAAAAGCACGTGTAATTACGCGTATGATGGCTGATCTTCCGCTCGAGTGACTGGGTTACCGACAACCGCCATCCAGGAAGAAAAAAAACCCACCCCGAGCACAAATATTCCGTTACTTCCGAATCGAAAATTTGAACAACAAGTTCATTAAATAACAACAACGACTTTAACAAGGATCTATATAACGCAGAGAAGCGCATAAACTGAATTTTAAAAGTGAATAGTCATTTTGCTTAAAGTTCAAAGCTACTGCCTAAATCAACTAGAACTATTAACAATATTACTCGCAATCACGAGTTTGAGTATCAGCTCAGAATTTATACTCACCAATCGCTCGAGCTAAATAAGTTTCTTAGGTGTTGCATTGTCAAAAAATTTATCAAAAGTAACGAACAGATTAGGGAGTCTAGTAATCAGACTCCCTAATCTGTTCGTTACTTTTGACAAAACTTTTGACAATGCAACACCTAAAAAACTTATTTAGCTCGCGCGATTGCTGAGTATAAATTCTGAGCTGATACTCAAACTCGTGATCAATATAAAAAAAACTCGTTACCCAGCCTTCGATCATCTACAAAATTTGATAATTGATGATGGCGTTTTTAAAAAAAATTTAACAATTTGAGGTGTCCAAGGTTGATACTAACGTATATACGTTAATAGGTCTGTATGTTTGTGACAATGAAAAACTACAGATTCTTTTCGACGACGCTTACACTGATTAATTATTGAGTCTTATTAATTAGTATTAAGAAAATTGTTCTGAAATAATTATAATTTAGTCGGAAAGGCAGAATAAAAAGCAGTCAAATAGTTTTTGGCGTTTTTTAATGCAAAAACCAGCCTTTCAGACAGAACTTTCCCAAACTAGTTTTCATGGATATTATTTGTACTGTAATGGATTTCCACAGTGCGACATTTAAAAATTCTGAAGTAAGCGGCTATAATGGCTTAAAATTGGTTATAATAAATCATATTGGATCATAATGGATTATAATCATTTAAAAACTAGCCTGATTTTTCAAACTCTTCTTCGCATCAAACCTTAAAATGTTGAACTGAGAAGTAACTCGGCCAGAGCAAAGGTTTTTGCATTGCTTTCTATTTTAATTGGCTTCTGTAACGATTTAAAATTAGGTCAAACTAGGGCCTCTCTTGTGATTTGGTAGAGCTCAAAGAGACAATTTGACCGACCTAAAACCGTACTTGCCATTCTTATTTCAATTACTTATCTCCCTGCACACATTTGACACACCCTCACTCAAAAAATCTTACGGGGGTGTCAAGCGTCTGGGGGAGGGGGGACGGGCAAAGATGGGTGTAAGAATGGGAATAAGCGTTAGGGTTGGGGGAAGTGGGTGTGGATGAATGTAAAAGGGGATTATTGTTGGGGTTGGGGGAGCTAAAATGAGAAGAGGGGCGATAACAGTGTGGGGAATATCGTTTTGCAATAATTAAGTAAAATTGACTTGCTTTAAAAATCGAGTTGGCTGTGGGTGATGCAGAAAAATCTGCATTTTTTGCAAAAAAACTTAAACAAGTTTTATGCAGATTATAATTCATTAAAATGCATCATGGATTATTTCAAAAAGGACTATAATCGATTTGAATTCTCTGAGAACAATGTGTTGTAATGGTTTTAACTGGTTGTGTGGTCCCATCAATTTGTAATAATATTTGATTAGGCTGGCAACAGTTTTGAAAACAAAAAGCGATTTTATTACTTTATCATCCATGAAACTTCAGTGGAATTTCAGGATTTACGACAATCAACATGGTAACTGAAGCCAAAATAACATCTTTGCGTATGGAAGCCTGGTAAAAGATGGTATTCTTCGATTCCGCGAGAGAATTTCATAAGCAGAGAGTTCAAACAAACAAAATAAGTTTAGCTTTTTGATAGTTTTGGTCTTTCAGACAACCTTGAGACAAAAATTCGGTCTAAAAATGTAGCTTTTGAAGTTTTCCACTCATTGTTGTCAATTACAAGGCTGTGTTATTAACAGATCCGGCCACAATCATTTTGCCAGGGTGCTCAAGCTTTATTCAGTTAGCCCCGACTTGTCAATATAGCCTGTTCTTTTTTGGCTAGCTTGTTTTCATTTTCATTTTCCTATATTGATATTGGCAACAGGAATCAGTTTAATTGCTTTCAAGAACAATCAAAGCACAATGCATTGGCAAAATTGTTATTTCAGGAATGCCAATTGAGAGATTGGAAAAAGCACGTAAAAATCTACAGATTAACATTGACTCAAAGCGGCAATCAGCACCCGGGTTGACCTCCATAAACCAAAAATGCTTATCTTACAATTCCATACACTGAAAATGCTTATCATACAATTCCATACATCAAATGTATGGAAAAACGCGAATCGTACAATTTTCATACAATTTCAAAAAATCATGGAAAAAAATATTCAAACTAAGTTTCTGCGGCTATTTGAACCAAATAAAACAGTCTGGTGATAAAAAACTATGTTTCTTTTTTTGGGAAAAAAACTGGTTATCATACAATTTCCATATATAAAAATTGTATGACTAGCATTTTTTTTGATGGCGACAACAAAAATTTTTCCAAGTAATATTGAAATTGCACCAAACTATTGAAATTTTTTGAAATTTTTTTCAACCGCAAATCAATTTTTGTGCTCAAACGAACCTTTTCCAAAAAATTTTTGCATTGCATGCAAATATTAGTTTTTTGTCTGCATAACGTAGTCCTGGATCCACAAAAAATTGAATATTTTTTTCCGTTTCTCTGAATTTTTTTTTGAACAGGCTAAAAACTCCTATTTCTTTTGCATGGCATGTTTATATATGCCTTGATCAATGTCTGATAATTTGAAAGTTCTAATTTTGAAAATAATCATCTGTGAAAAATTTTGCCAAAATTTAAAAATTTGATGCTTTCAGTATATGATTTCTGAAGAGAACTCCTATACAATTCAGATAGTTTCCAAGGCATTGGTGATGCCAGACGATCAATCCTTTGGTGACTCCAGTTTTGGGTAAAACATGATTTCAGTCACATGACTAAAACTTTTAAAAAATTAACTGTTTGGTTTATAAAAAACCGCTTCTCCTACGATTTCTACAAGTGAAAAAAATGCTTATCTTAGAGCTTTTAAACTTTTTCTGTAGCATTTTTTTGATATGAATGAAAATTGTATGATAAGCATTTTTGATCAACCCGGACAACTACGAGCAGAGACAAGTAATAATTCACGTTTGGAAGTCAACTTTTTGGAAAAATGAAATGTCAGACGTGCCAGAAGACCAACTCTAAGGCTTGCAGTGGTTGCCGGAAAATTTATTACTGCTCAAAGGTATATTTTGCCACCTTTCCCATATCAAATACGGCCACCCGTACCAAAAATACTCTTTATTTCTGGTCAAAACTTCTTGTAATTTTTTTTTAAAAAAGCAGGGATTTTTTGAAACTTTTGTTTCTCATATTATTTTTGATCAAAAGTTAGCTAAATCTAGGCTATTTCTAGCTAGAAAAAAAGAAAAAGTATCTTTGTGAAGCTCAAAACCCCCACCTGCCATTGAATAGACAGACGGTTGTGCTATTCGCTAGGCTACACGACCTGATACCTTCGCATAGTTTTAGCAATCTAATTCAAAGCAACACTTGTCGTATTCCAAAGCAACAATTGTATTGCGGCTATTGTGTATACTCGAAGCAATTTTTATCTTGTTGCGGTTAAGCAATGAACTGATTTTTGGTTATTTTTTCCAGAAATTATTTAATTCTAAACTAAGAAAAGACATAGATCATTTCTGTAGACAAAATACGAAAACATTTGGCTAAATAGGCTATAAATCATTTCTATCTTAAAAACAGAGCTCGTTGGTTACGGTGATTTGAAAACAGGTTGTTCGGATAGTTGCAAGATATTCCCTTACAAGCATTTGTATTCAAAACAGCTATAGTGCTTTTCTTTTTCAAATTACTGCAAAATTTTAAACTTGAAACAGAAAACTTGAAACAAAAAATGGCAATTAAACCAGTCGAAGCATCCACCAGTTTCCTAAACCAGTAGAAAAATACGGAGCTGATACGAAACAATCCTAAAACAGTTATGCAAAATCTACAAAAAAATCATGCAACATTTTACACAGACAACGTAATTTTTTTTTACTGTTTTATTTACTCAATAACCCGAAACTTGGCTGGTGTATGTATTAAGCTTTTCTTTGGCTGGTCGATAATTCGTCTGGCTCATTCAGCCTCATAAATTAGGAAGCCAATAAGAAGCGATTCAGTTAGTTTTGTGAATGGTAAAAAGCGCAATGCTTTGACAAATTTCTGGTTTTGGACCAAGTATGCCCTTACACAGCTCTGTTTTGATTTCAATTCACAAATTCTAAATTTATATGACTCTATTTTTCTGAGTTTTGGAGCACACATATGTGAATAATTGGACTTTTTTAGGAATGCCAACTGAGCGATTGGAAAGTTCACATGAAAATCTGCAAAATCAGATCTGCTGAAGGCGGCAACCAAAGGCCCAGCGTGGAGACAAGTTTTCATTCAACTTTTGGTGTCAGCGATTCTGAAAACATGAATTGTAGGATGTGCCAAAAAACCAACGCTAAAGCTTGCACTGGTTGCAGAAAAGCTTGTTACTGCTCAAAGGTACTTTTTTACTTTTTAGCAGCAAAATAAAAAACCAGTTTTGTTTGCACTCAATCCACCAAACTATATTTTATCAAAAATTTTGATTTAAAACAACTACTTCAATTTCTAATTTTCCGGTGAAAATAACTGCGAGCGATTATGAAATTAAAGGTTTCCCAACAAACAAAAGCCAGATCTTAACAACAAACAAGGCTGCTTATAACAGCGCACAGCCCTGAATGTTCCGACTGCCTTTCAAGGTCTCAATAATCACATGAATGAACAAGAAATTAAAAAAGTAATAAAATGAAATGCAAACTTTTTGTCCAATTTGAGATATTTCGTGAAAATCATACCCCCACACGCCATATAAACTACTAAGTGATAGTTTTCAGTCCTTCTAACAAATCATTATAGCAAATAAGCTTCCTTCAATCAAAATGGAACTATTTATAAGACGGATTAAATCTCCACTTACGCGTTTATAGCGCGAAATATATCGCGCATTAATTGTTCGAAATTGGCAATATGTAAACTCCCGTAACTTTCTGAAAATGGATCACAAGTGAAATATCTTTTTGATTTTGAGCTCAGAAAATAACTACTTTTCGAATGATTTCTAAAAGTTTCGTCACGAACTGCTAGCTATTAAATCGAATTTTGTCAGGAGAAAAAAAACCACCGCAAGCATATACTTTCCGTCATTTTCTTCAAAAGTAGAAACGATAAATGTATGTTATTGTATCATTGAGCAAGCATGTCTTTTTAATACAATTTTGAATATTTAGTAACTTTTGCTCAGAAAACTCAGAAAGTGTTACAATCTAAAATTGGCTAAAACACTCTAAATTGCCTCGTAAAACACAAAACCATTTTTTCAAATAAAAAAATTCTCAAGATTTATTCAGAAAAATTGTGGTAAGAAAACCAGCCGATGTGATGTGTAATATAGCTACCGTATAAACTACTCTAAGTTATGATGGTTTTACAAAATAATGATGTTACTTATGAATTACAAAATTCATGGAAAGTTAAGGTTTTTTTCTCAGTGACATAAATTTTGACTGATTGAAATTTTCTTTTTAATTTTGTCTGACTTATGCTTCGGTTGATTTATGTACTTTCGTATACCAATATTACTCGATTTTATTGCTTGCAAAGTTCATTAAAGCACAGTCAATGGTCAAAACTTTGCTTTTTTAACCGGTGTTCTGGTCTGTTTTGGATTTAAGGCATAGATACTTACACTAGTGGACAAATTTAAGCGCAAACTCAGGATTTTAGTCTGTAAAATGTCTGCCTTGAATGCACATTTTGGACAACATTTCCTTCGAAATTCGGTAAAAGTCTTACATTCGGTTAAGTTTTTTCTTAGCAATGTAATCCTGGTTTAAAAATTCCAGTTTTCTTCATTAAGTTTCGCATCGTAGTGAGTTCTTTCTTGAATAAGCGGATTAATAAAATTTTTCATGGGACGTGAAACATTCTCAGCGAGAAAATGGAAACAATCTGTGTGAAAATTTTACTAACCTCGGACGTTTCTCACTTTTTCATGCGAAGTAAAAAACTTAGTGCAGATGAGAAAAGCTGGCATTTTCAGACCCGGATTGCATTGGTAAGTCATTGAAACCAAGTATTGATATTTTCATAGATGGTAGCTCTGAACAAGGCATTTTGCAGACTAAAATTTTGAATTTGCGCTTAGTTCTGTCCACTAAGGTAGTTTTTTTTTCAGTGAAGTTTTGGCTTTTGGCCAGGTTGGGGTAATTAACGCGCGATATATTGCGTTCATATAACACGCGTAGGCAACTTTTCTAGGAATGTCAGTGGAAGGATTGGAAAGCTCATAAAAAGATCTGCAGAATTACACCGGCTCCAAGCGGCAATGAACAACCAATAGTTGAGACAAGTGCGAATCAAGCTTCGGGAGTCAAGCGGGAGAGGTTTCAGCTAATGGAGCTGCATTCCCTGCATAAAGACAAAGCAACCTCACTTGGGTTGCCTTTCATACCCGATTACACTACGGAGTTTCTGGATGAATATCCAGAACACATTCACTATCACCACGCAAACGAAATGGCGGGCCTAGAATTAGAATTCATTAGTCGTTTTTATAATATCCACGACGGAGGAAATGCTTTTACTGACGAGGATTTCTCCCTGGAACTACTTTTGAAGCGATGGAACATACCCGATACGCAGTTTTTGTTTCAGTTTTTAGCACGAAACGATTTAGAAGACGGACACATTTGCGAAGAACATAATTTTACATACCTAACTACTTTGCAAGGCACAAACAGCATCGTAGACAACGTGCATATTTTGCGCAATACTCCGAGTACAAATCTCGTTTTCGAGTGTGGTCGAAATTACGTATCCATTGGTTATGTTGATCTAAGTCAGCTTTTGTGGGGTTCATATCGAAACGACAATGACGGAGTGATACACTTCTACGGCTACGATCAGGCTGAAGTTACAGTAGCGAGAAGTATCTTGATTTACGAAATGTTGAAGTCTGAGGTGAGTGACAAAACGATTCTGCAAATTTGGTTTTCTTCGTGCTGGGATAAAGAAACACAACAAGATTTCAAGACATTTCTTCAAAACGAAGTACCAAATCTCGACAATGATCTGCTCAACAAGTATGCTCACAATTGGAAACGAAAGATGAACATGACGACAGAATTCGCGCAGTCGGCTTTTGCACAACCTTTGACTGTGCTTGATTTCGCGCCTATGAGTAACTTGAAAGTCAAAGATGACAGAATGGCATATGGTCATTACTGCCTTACGGGTTGCATTTTCACTGAAGGTGTTGTAGTTTGTGGAAATTGCACTATGTTTCCTGATGCAGATGATAATTGGAAGAAAATCAGATCTGAAATGTTCTACGCCGTGATAGACATGACTCAAATTGCGAGCAAGTTGACAGAAAGCGATACATCTCTTATCAAGTTCATAGCGTCGCAAACACACAAAAAGCTATCCGAGTTGCGAGGATTCGTTCAAAATGGGAAAATAAAATGCCACTTATCAGTAAAAACAGTCGAGACTAATGATTTCCGGTTCGCCGGTGATGTCAAAAAACTGGAACCTCATGTGATAGACTGGAGTAACGTGCCTGATTTTTGGCCCAGATTCGACTTCATAGATTTTGCGGAGAGTTGCAGTGGACTTAAAACTCTGCACCGTTTCCACACAATAAACTGGTCACACAAAGTGTATGGTACATCGTACTTGGATTACAGGGATCGGAGAGATCTTTTGGAAACATTATTCAGAAGCAAAATCGAGAAATTGAATGTTACCGCCAACAAAGTCAAAGTTATGCTACCAAATATTGACCGATTGATCCAACTACCGTTGTTCAAAATGCCACACAATAAGTTATCATCACCATCAGTTGCAGCAGATAAATTTGGTGGAAAGTACTTGAAATATTTCATGACTGATCGAAACGGAAAAGTTCTGAATCATTTCAGAGAGAAGCATGAAATCTTCTGGGATATCTTTCTTGAGAGCGCTAGTCACACTATGATATGCGCGTTTTCATTTGACGATACTATTCAACTAGACAAAATTTTTTAACTTGAACGCACCTGCATCCAAACAGAAAAATTACTCTTTATAACTAAACTGAAATTTGTAATCTGTCAGCTATAAGAAGAAACTTCAATGTGGGGGTTGTTTTCTTGAATACCCGGGTTGACCTCCATAGACCGAAAATGCTAATCATACAATTTCATACACTTAGTCTATGGAAAAATGCTAGTCATACAAATTTCATGCATTTTTGCAAAATGAGTTTAATCGAATTTTAAAGGTATTTTATAGTTGTTTTGCTATCGAAATTGGTGTCTCTTCATAAAAAAAGGAAAAAAATGGTATGAAAAAAAATGCTAACCATACAATGAACAAGAAATTAAAAAAGTAATAAAATGAAATGCAAACTTTTTGTCCAATTTGAGATATTTCGTGAAAATCATACCCCCACACGCCATATAAACTACTAAGTGATAGTTTTCAGTCCTTCTAACAAATCATTATAGCAAATAAGCTTCCTTCAATCAAAATGGAACTATTTATAAGACGGATTAAATCTCCACTTACGCGTTTATAGCGCGAAATATATCGCGCATTAATTGTTCGAAATTGGCAATATGTAAACTCCCGTAACTTTCTGAAAATGGATCACAAGTGAAATATCTTTTTGATTTTGAGCTCAGAAAATAACTACTTTTCGAATGATTTCTAAAAGTTTCGTCACGAACTGCTAGCTATTAAATCGAATTTTGTCAGGAGAAAAAAAACCACCGCAAGCATATACTTTCCGTCATTTTCTTCAAAAGTAGAAACGATAAATGTATGTTATTGTATCATTGAGCAAGCATGTCTTTTTAATACAATTTTGAATATTTAGTAACTTTTGCTCAGAAAACTCAGAAAGTGTTACAATCTAAAATTGGCTAAAACACTCTAAATTGCCTCGTAAAACACAAAACCATTTTTTCAAATAAAAAAATTCTCAAGATTTATTCAGAAAAATTGTGGTAAGAAAACCAGCCGATGTGATGTGTAATATAGCTACCGTATAAACTACTCTAAGTTATGATGGTTTTACAAAATAATGATGTTACTTATGAATTACAAAATTCATGGAAAGTTAAGGTTTTTTTCTCAGTGACATAAATTTTGACTGATTGAAATTTTCTTTTTAATTTTGTCTGACTTATGCTTCGGTTGATTTATGTACTTTCGTATACCAATATTACTCGATTTTATTGCTTGCAAAGTTCATTAAAGCACAGTCAATGGTCAAAACTTTGCTTTTTTAACCGGTGTTCTGGTCTGTTTTGGATTTAAGGCATAGATACTTACACTAGTGGACAAATTTAAGCGCAAACTCAGGATTTTAGTCTGTAAAATGTCTGCCTTGAATGCACATTTTGGACAACATTTCCTTCGAAATTCGGTAAAAGTCTTACATTCGGTTAAGTTTTTTCTTAGCAATGTAATCCTGGTTTAAAAATTCCAGTTTTCTTCATTAAGTTTCGCATCGTAGTGAGTTCTTTCTTGAATAAGCGGATTAATAAAATTTTTCATGGGACGTGAAACATTCTCAGCGAGAAAATGGAAACAATCTGTGTGAAAATTTTACTAACCTCGGACGTTTCTCACTTTTTCATGCGAAGTAAAAAACTTAGTGCAGATGAGAAAAGCTGGCATTTTCAGACCCGGATTGCATTGGTAAGTCATTGAAACCAAGTATTGATATTTTCATAGATGGTAGCTCTGAACAAGGCATTTTGCAGACTAAAATTTTGAATTTGCGCTTAGTTCTGTCCACTAAGGTAGTTTTTTTTTCAGTGAAGTTTTGGCTTTTGGCCAGGTTGGGGTAATTAACGCGCGATATATTGCGTTCATATAACACGCGTAGGCAACTTTTCTAGGAATGTCAGTGGAAGGATTGGAAAGCTCATAAAAAGATCTGCAGAATTACACCGGCTCCAAGCGGCAATGAACAACCAATAGTTGAGACAAGTGCGAATCAAGCTTCGGGAGTCAAGCGGGAGAGGTTTCAGCTAATGGAGCTGCATTCCCTGCATAAAGACAAAGCAACCTCACTTGGGTTGCCTTTCATACCCGATTACACTACGGAGTTTCTGGATGAATATCCAGAACACATTCACTATCACCACGCAAACGAAATGGCGGGCCTAGAATTAGAATTCATTAGTCGTTTTTATAATATCCACGACGGAGGAAATGCTTTTACTGACGAGGATTTCTCCCTGGAACTACTTTTGAAGCGATGGAACATACCCGATACGCAGTTTTTGTTTCAGTTTTTAGCACGAAACGATTTAGAAGACGGACACATTTGCGAAGAACATAATTTTACATACCTAACTACTTTGCAAGGCACAAACAGCATCGTAGACAACGTGCATATTTTGCGCAATACTCCGAGTACAAATCTCGTTTTCGAGTGTGGTCGAAATTACGTATCCATTGGTTATGTTGATCTAAGTCAGCTTTTGTGGGGTTCATATCGAAACGACAATGACGGAGTGATACACTTCTACGGCTACGATCAGGCTGAAGTTACAGTAGCGAGAAGTATCTTGATTTACGAAATGTTGAAGTCTGAGGTGAGTGACAAAACGATTCTGCAAATTTGGTTTTCTTCGTGCTGGGATAAAGAAACACAACAAGATTTCAAGACATTTCTTCAAAACGAAGTACCAAATCTCGACAATGATCTGCTCAACAAGTATGCTCACAATTGGAAACGAAAGATGAACATGACGACAGAATTCGCGCAGTCGGCTTTTGCACAACCTTTGACTGTGCTTGATTTCGCGCCTATGAGTAACTTGAAAGTCAAAGATGACAGAATGGCATATGGTCATTACTGCCTTACGGGTTGCATTTTCACTGAAGGTGTTGTAGTTTGTGGAAATTGCACTATGTTTCCTGATGCAGATGATAATTGGAAGAAAATCAGATCTGAAATGTTCTACGCCGTGATAGACATGACTCAAATTGCGAGCAAGTTGACAGAAAGCGATACATCTCTTATCAAGTTCATAGCGTCGCAAACACACAAAAAGCTATCCGAGTTGCGAGGATTCGTTCAAAATGGGAAAATAAAATGCCACTTATCAGTAAAAACAGTCGAGACTAATGATTTCCGGTTCGCCGGTGATGTCAAAAAACTGGAACCTCATGTGATAGACTGGAGTAACGTGCCTGATTTTTGGCCCAGATTCGACTTCATAGATTTTGCGGAGAGTTGCAGTGGACTTAAAACTCTGCACCGTTTCCACACAATAAACTGGTCACACAAAGTGTATGGTACATCGTACTTGGATTACAGGGATCGGAGAGATCTTTTGGAAACATTATTCAGAAGCAAAATCGAGAAATTGAATGTTACCGCCAACAAAGTCAAAGTTATGCTACCAAATATTGACCGATTGATCCAACTACCGTTGTTCAAAATGCCACACAATAAGTTATCATCACCATCAGTTGCAGCAGATAAATTTGGTGGAAAGTACTTGAAATATTTCATGACTGATCGAAACGGAAAAGTTCTGAATCATTTCAGAGAGAAGCATGAAATCTTCTGGGATATCTTTCTTGAGAGCGCTAGTCACACTATGATATGCGCGTTTTCATTTGACGATACTATTCAACTAGACAAAATTTTTTAACTTGAACGCACCTGCATCCAAACAGAAAAATTACTCTTTATAACTAAACTGAAATTTGTAATCTGTCAGCTATAAGAAGAAACTTCAATGTGGGGGTTGTTTTCTTGAATACCCGGGTTGACCTCCATAGACCGAAAATGCTAATCATACAATTTCATACACTTAGTCTATGGAAAAATGCTAGTCATACAAATTTCATGCATTTTTGCAAAATGAGTTTAATCGAATTTTAAAGGTATTTTATAGTTGTTTTGCTATCGAAATTGGTGTCTCTTCATAAAAAAAGGAAAAAAATGGTATGAAAAAAAATGCTAACAATACAATTTCCATATATGGAAATTGTATGACTAGTATTTTTGGTCATCCCGGGTACACAACTGTATATTGTAGAAAAACTTTCATTTAGTTGAAAAGAATCGACCTGCAAGCTTCGCCTTTTTATAATTGTTTTGTAAATTTGTATAATTGTTATGTAAATTATTGTATAACCGGGCTGACCTCTATGCACCGAAATTGCTGGTTCTGCAACTCCATACAATTCGACTATGAAAGCGTGCTATTTTAAATTTCGAAATTCGTCAAAAATATTATCAGTTTTTTGTCGCATAATCATTTCTGTTGTCAAGCAAAGTATTTTAAAATTAATTCAGTGTAAAATTTTTTCTATGATTTGGTCCAATTTCTATCTTGCATACGTCATTTTTTTGTTTCTGATTGAGATCAGACGCCTTGTCTTGTTAAAAATTACCAAAAACTACTATAGGCGAAAAAAGTGCAGCAAAAAACTTGAAAGCAAATTGTACAGCAGGAGTCGTTAAACACAAAATAGAAGTAAAATTAGGTTAAAAAACAATCTGTGGCAAGACAGTTTTTGATTATACAATGGTTATACAATTCCATATGCAAAAAATACAACTCCATATGCAAAAAAAATGATACTCATACAATTTACATCTATAGAAAATATAAGAAATAAAGTTTTCATACAATTTTTAAATGAAGGAAATGTTTGAGAAACTGTATAAAAATTGTATGGCCAATTTTCGTTGTCAACGAGAAAACTTTCAAAAATTAATTTGAGTTTTATCTACTTTTTTTTGGCTGCAAATAGTTGCACTTTTTGAGCTAATAAGTATTGAGCAAATTTTCTCGTGATGATTGCAAACGAATAAGATTATCAGTTTGGTTCTATCTTTCTTCTCAAACGGCTCAGAGAAACCTGGCAACTTTGTGGTACGCAAAAAAATTATAAAACAAAATTTTAAGTAAACGTGTCATGTCAAAAACAAACAATTTAATGTAAATTTTGTTAACCCATTTTTCCAAATGTTCATAAACTGATGACTGATACTTAGACATTTAATTTAAGTTATTGCTGGATAGTGACTTTTGATTGGAAAAAAAACAAAAAAACTTTTAATTGCATATGGTTCATACAGTTTTGGAACATGGGAGGGGTTTGGCATTTCCAGCGATTCCGTCCAAAAATACCAAA